AGGCAGGCAGGCAGGCAGGCAGTAGGTAGGTAGGTGGCAGGTAGGTGGTAGGTTGTAGGTAGCAGCAGCAGCAGCAATAGTAGTAGTAGTGGGAGCAGTAGCAGCAGTAGTAGTCGCAGAAGTAGCGGTAGTGGTAGTGGTAGGAGGCTTAGGAGGAGCAGTGGTCGTGGTCGTCGTTCTCGTTGCGGTGGTGGCAGTGGTGGAAGTGCATGAGGTAGCAGGGTGATGATTGCGATTACCAATGGGTGAGAACTTCTGCGGCACACCGTCACGAAGGCGGGTGTGCTGCTTCGACAGCTGGCAGTCCATCAGGTGCTTGGTACGGCGCCTCGAAGCCAGCTGCCCGCAGCAGTTAACTGTGACCAAACGCAGAAACAGTCATTATCATCATCATCATCATCCTTATCGTCATCACCACCGCCGTTCTCTACGGTATCGTCTGTAGCTCATAACCGCCATCGTCATCTTCACCAGCATCATCATCATCATGATCATCACCACCACCGCCGTGGTTCTCCACATTATCGTCTGTAGCTCATCATCGCCATTATCACCGTCATCATCATCAGAGGCCCGGACGCCAGGTCATCCGTCTCCTTGAAGCGCACGAAGCTTGTGCGGCCTAATTTGCAGGCACCAGCAAGTGCCCCCGTATTATTGTGACTTCTTCGTATGTTTCTCTTCCGCTTGCAGTGTGCGAAACTGATGGAAAACCCTGAGCGCACAAACCGTAGGGCAGGAGTAAGGCCCGGGCCCAAGCAGAAGTTGGTTTCCTCAATAGCCCAGTCATTGCTCCTCAGATGCGCTGTGCTTCGAGCTCCGAGCTTACTGAAATTTATGGTCGAGCGGGTTCTCCGCTACACTCTTTGCGGTGTTCGTAAGGCATACTGTGAGGTTTTTTGCTGCGCTGGTGGACTTGCAGAGGTCAATGGGAATGTCCGGGGCTCGGCTTTGGAGGTCTGAGCTCCAAAGTCCCAGCCCGGTAACAAACGCCTCAAGGTAGCCCTTCGCAGTCTCCAACCCTGAACATCGAAGCACTGCGTCCTCCCAACAAGCAGCACGATATGCCTCAGCCTCTCAGCGTGCCTAGCTGCACTTAGGCGACTTTCCTGGGCTCAAAGTTTCGATCCTCCCCCCCCCCACCCCCACTCAACCCGCCACGCCACCCCCCACGAGCAACTCACTGCCCAAGACTTTACACCCGCTGCATGCAGCTCAGGGCCTGCCTCTTGAGGTGTTAGCTTCGCTTTCCGACAGGACCGACTTTTCGTGTTGCATCTTTGCACAACCCTCCATATTCCCTTGAAGGGAAAGTGTATAGGCACGTGCGTACGAGGGCATGTTCGCGTATGTATGTATCTATCTATCTATCTATCCATGTATGCATGTATGTATATATGTATGTATGTATGTATGTATGTATGTATGTATGTATGTATGTATGTATGCATGTATGTATGTATGTATGTATGTATGTATGTACGTATGTATGTGTACGCATGTATGTATGTATGGATGTATGTATGTATGTATGTATGTATGTATGTGTATATATGTATACAAAAAGTACGTTTGTTTGTATGTTTGTATGTTTGTATGTTTGTATGTTTGTATGTTTGTATGTTTGTATGTTTGTATGTTTGTATGTATGTATGTATGTATGTATGTATGTATGTATGTATGTTGGTGTCGTGTGTATATATATGTACATATATATATATACAGCGAGATAGGCGAGATAGAGAGAGACAAACAGAGACAGAAAGAGAGACAGAAAGAGAGAGACAGAAAGAGAGAGAGAAAGAAAGAGAGAGAGAGAGAAAGAGAGAGAGAGAGAGAGAAAGAGAGAGAGAGTGAGAGAGAGAGAGAGAGACGGA